TGGGTAAAGTAACGTTTGTATTGGAATTGCAGCCAGAGGCAGCTTCCCTGAGCTGCTGTGTCATGAGGAGGTGCTGGCTGCTTGCAGGTGAGGTGTCTCCTTGCAGCTCCAGGAGACATTCAGTGCTGACTTCTAGCTTGGAGGCACATCTCCTGCCATCACTGAACCAAAGCCAGGCCCTTGGTCGGGGTGGCACAGGAGACAGGCTGCGGAGGAGGCTGCAGCAAGCCCAGCGAGGAGTTCAAGGGTTACACCGTCAGTCGTGACAATGAGGTAGCTTCTCTCCTGTGGTTTCACTGCTCTGAATTGCAGCATTACTCCACCACTGGTTTAATGCAGGAGAAGGAACAGCATAAAACCAGGCCAAGGCTCAGCCTGAAGGATCCTTGCCAGCTCTCCTCTTCCCACCCCAATCAGAACTGCAGAGCCAGCGGTGAGAGGAGCTCCTGGGGCATTGTGCAGGGAAGCAAGATTGACTCTGCAAAGCTGCAGAGAGAGATGTTTTGCCTCCCCATCCAGCTGTCCATCTCTGCATGGTGCCCTGAGGGACCAGCAGAGAATGGAGCCACCCAAGCCACCAGCCCCAATTATCCAAATGTCCCTCTCTACCTCCTGGTGGCTTTTGTGCCTGCAGGGAGGAGGGCTGTTGAGCAGGATGGGCCAGGAGTGGGAGTCTTACAGTCCTGCTCAACCCATGTGTGGGCTCAAGGCTTTGAAGGGTGGAGGAGACTGACTTCTCTGTGGTGGCCGCTTTTGGATATGGAGAAGAATTCATAGCTGCTGCCTGCTGGAAAGGCCAAAAAGAGAGACAAATAGGAAAAAGTCCAATAGAAAGCATTTCCAGGGTATCCAGCTTGTGGCTGATGCTCTCCTAGCAGGACAACATCCTTCTGCAGAGAGAGAGCACAATGGTGGTGCAACATAGAAGTGACAAAGGTGAGAAGAGCCCTCCTTAAGGAGGGCAGAGGGAAGGAGGGATAAAGCCCACTGAAACAAGGTGGTGTGGGAAAGCAGATGGAGGGGATCAGTCGGGGCTGTGCCTCAGTCCTGTTTGAACTCTGCAGCAGGACTCAGGCCGGGCTGCCAGTGTCGGTGGCATGTCTTCTGCTCTTTGGGGACTTTGAAGATATGAGTTGTGCCCTCCTGGGAGGCTGGGCTGGAGCCAGCAGCTGGGGAGGTACTGTGAGCTTGTGTGTCTCTGCACAAGTGGCATGAACCCGCTTTGAAATCCCCAGGTGAGGAGAGAAAACCCACGAAGCTCCAAGCATAGGATGGGAGTTTTGTGAAGTTGCAGCACAAAGAAAATTTGGGTTTTGCTCAATTTAGCCATACACTGTGGACTATGGTGGAGAGGCGTCATCCCATTTCATGTCCGTCTCATTGGGATGGGAGGGCTCCATCTCCACTGACTCTAGCCTGGGCCTCTGGCATGCTGATGCAGGATGCATCGAGTCCTCCTTGAAAGCATGCCAAAAATAAAGGACATGGTCACTAATCATCAACGGGGATGGAGGAAGACTATGGATTTACAGCAGGAATCTTGCCTCTGCTTTGAGCAACCCCAAATTCATGTGCCAGCACATCTGTCCTCCTGCCAGCTTCAGTTCCCATGAGGCTGTGATGGTTTTGTTCAGGGTCTCATGCCACAGCCCGTGTTTGAAAGAAAAAAAAAAAAGCAGAATCCACTCATGGGAGGTGATTTTACCCGCTTGATGAAAGGATGTTGGTGCCAGCTTGGATTGTGTAGCTGGCTGAGGGTTGGTGGGGTTGGCTGGCTGCGGGGCTTGAACGAGGACTGTGTTTTTCACTGTGGGATGACTGATAATCAGGATTTACTGCTGCATTCCCTGGGACAGGCAGCCTTCATGCTGGGGCAGAAGAAACCACATCAGGCTACGTGTTTTTGCAGCCCGGTGTCAAGTGAGGCAGCAGCTCCTCTGTCCCCAGGACAGGACTCACTCTTGCAGCCGGATTTCTTTAGTCCGGCTTGCAACAGTTCACAGTCCTGCAGGTTTCCAGCTCCATCACCTGCAGCTGGCAGCCCTCGCATGTGCATTTCTCCTGGCCCCCAGATGCGCGCCGGATCAAGCGTCAGGGATATTGGGCTACAAACTTCCAGGGAAAAGTACAGTGTGCAGCCAGCTCCTCCAGCCTGCAGTCTGGCCAGCTCACGATCCTGCCACGAGGCTTGCGTGGTGGGGGATGTTATTGGAGCCCATGCTGTTTATTCAGTAGTTTGTAGGAGAATCTCAGTTTTCATTAAAAAAAAATTAAAAAAAGGAATCATCTCCTCTTCTCAGTTGCCCAGAAAACATGAAGCAAGTTTGACCTAAAGGCTCAGGAACCAGAAGGCAAATAAAAAGGACCCAAGTTTTATTATTTGCAAGCCAATCCCATGGTTTTTGGAGCCTGATTCATGATCACAGATGGATTGATGTTGGCAGTATCGAACTGTCAGCCAAATCCCTTCGCAGATGATGATAAAGAGCCTCATTTTTGCCAAAGGGTGAATATATTCTTTATGAGATGCAACAGAGATGTAACACAGCACCTTGCTCCTGACAACGCTGGCCTTTATTTCCTGGGTCTGCGCTTAGGACATGGCTGAACTTTCCCATAAGTTTTAGCCCTGATGTGGGGCCAGGATCTACAGCCCTGAGTTCAGCTGTTGCTGTTACAGCAGAAACGCAAAATGACTTCATTGACTTGGGCTTCACGTCCCCATTTTTCTAAGCATTTTCATGACTTGCCCGCAGATCTATGCTACAAATGGGCTTTTCAAGTCTGCCCTGTTCAAGGGAAGAGCTGGGAGAGGAGGTACTGGCTGTTCCTGGTAGGAGCTGGAAGGAGCCTGCTGTTTACCCAAACCCCTTTAATATCTTTATCAAGGCATGAGAAGAAAATAGAGGAGCATTGCTAGCAAAATCTGCAGGGAGTTGGAAATGAATGGAGCAGTGAAAGAAGGGAAGCTGCGTTAGATGGTGAGAAGCTGGGACCATAAGGTAAATTGAAACTGGCCGGTGTGAATCTGCTCTGCATGGAGGCATGGAGCTGTCAGCACACCGATAACACAGTGGGGACTGTAAGTTGGGGAAAAAATGCAGGTCCTCCAACCACAGCATGGGTCATCCCTGTCCCAGACCTACATGGAGGCTGCAGGGGTGCCAACCCATTGCTCAGAGGAGAAGTGGGCAGCGTGGGCCATCCCAGGCTTTGGGTTGCTCTGACACATCAGATATTGTAATCCACAAGGCATGTTGCTGCCTTCTGTAAAAAACAGCTTTGTAGTTTGTCTTGAAGGTGTGTGGTCATGTCAGGATTGCTCTGGTTAGCCCTGAAATGCAACAGCAACGGTACTGCTTGTGCTTTCTGTAGACGGTGGGTGCCAGATGATGTGCAGAGCAGCCCTGGGTTATGGGCTCTTACGTTCCCCTGTAGTGACTTGGTCCTTCTGCAGAGTCATGCTCACAATTCCCAGGGGAGGGCACCAAGCAGTAAAATTCTTTTTAGAGCTTGTAAACAAGTAGACCTGTGAGGATCCCTGCAGATGACCCAGCTCTGTCTCCTGCTCTGCGCACAGGGCTGTGCTCCTTGAGGATCACAGATATTCCTGTACCAGAGAGCCAAGGAGGGGTGAGGACTTGTCTGCACTTGCTAGCCATGGTTTGGTGATTGCCACCTTCTTCCTGAAAGATGTGTCCAGCCCACACGGGTTCAGAAATGCATCTTGACTTCTTGTGCTCAGGCTCAGCAGCTTAAAGAGAAAATAACAAAGATGATTTCAACTGTTGTTAAACCAGGTTTTTTATTACAAAGGAGATTTTCCCCTCTCATATCCAGCTCCAGGAACAGGCACCTGCAGATGTGGTTTGGTACAGGGGGATGTGTCTGGCTCCTGGGGCAGGGCTAGGGCCAGACGGAAAGAAGAGATGGATGGAAAGAAGAGGTTTTGCTGCAGAAATTCCCCTTGACTGCTCTCCTCTCCAAGCCAAATGAGACACGTGGCTGGTGTGACTGGGATTATGGGTTTGGGGATCCCTTGGAGCTGTTGACAGACTGGGGGCTTGGTGCCACTCTCAAGTGGGTTGGCATCGGGCACAAAGGTCTCACACCCTGAAAAGCCTGATCTCAAGCCTGAATTAATGGAGGAAAATAAAGAATAACTTGGCTGATGGAGATCTTCTCTGGTCAGCTGGTGCCAAAGCGATCGCAGGTGATGACAGTCTCTCCCTGGCCAGTGGTGCGAGGAAATTGAAGAGATGAGGGGAAGAGAGAGAGACCCTGTGGTGTAGAGGTGAAGCCATTTGCAAAGGAGAAGTCCAGGGCTCCTGCGAGGTCTGGGACATCCATCCAAGCCTGCCCAATGGGGGAACATGGGCATGAAGGTGTTCAGCACTGTGTTAAAGCCTGTATTTCTTGTGCTAATAAAGTGTCTTGCTCTAAGCACCCCTGGAAGTATGAGTTGTGAAGGTGGAGCAGGGGAAATGGGTAAAAAAACCGTGCCAGATCTGGCCTTAGGGGTCTAAGGAAACTGCAGGAACTCATCTCCATGATAAACTGGTGGCCCTGGGTTATTCTGGCCATGGGAAGCAGCGCTGCTGAGTGGACACGGCTGCTCAGGGAGGATCCAGTGCCGCCCAACTTCTCCACGAGGGTCCTGGAAGCAGAAAGCGGGGCCCCACAGGCAGGCAGAGCAGGGCTGGCAGCCAGAGCTGGACCACTTCATGCAGGATTTGGGGAGCAGTGGGGACAGGGTCGACGTGTCTGGAAGCGAGGTGGCTTCTCCAGGGGTGACTGCGTGACCGGTGGCTTTCAAACCGATGGTGTTTCATGCCCAGCAGCTCTATGCTGTGCAGACGAAGGGTGGCTGAGGTGCGAGCGCTGCTCTCTCTGCTCTGCTGGGGGTGATGGAAGGGAAGATTTGGGATTGTGGTTTGGGGCCGGGGGGGGTGTGTGTGTTCCTGCAGGCAGGGGCTACGCTGGTCATTTAAGATGGCTTTATGCAGCTGGAGGAATGTAAAGCAGCTGGTGGGGAGAGTGAACTCAACCGCTTTGTCTTGCTTGCTGCATGTATGGGGGGGGCTAGCTGCACCCCGCGCCCCATTGCCCCAGGGAGACAGGAGCCCATCCACGGCACTGGGAAGGGAACTGGGATTTACTGGGAAAGGACTCGGGGCACTGGGGGATCTCGGTGGTAAAGCGGAGCCCTGGGAGGGGAGGCTGCAGCCCAGATTTCTGCTTTGCCCCACTCGGAGCGTGGGGTGCTCAGGGCTGGGACAGGGCCGGCTTTGCCCCGGGCTGGGGTAGATGCATCTGCGTGGGCTCAGCCCCAGCGTGGGGGTTTAAACCTCTCCCGGGGGGGGGGGCTCAAGCATCTCAGAGCCGGGTGTCCAGGTGGGGTTTAACAGGGAGAAGGGGTGCGGCCGGCCCTTCTGAGGGGGGGGTGATATATCCCACCAGTGTCACCTCCCGGCTGGTAGCACCCCAGGACGGGGTCCAGCCCGGCAGGTCCTTCCAACCCCCCCCCCCACCCTTGACCGCGGAGCCCCGGCCAGGCTGCAGGGAGGTAGGGGTTAAACCTGCGGCTCCCGCACCCCC